GATGACGAAAGGAGGTTGGCACGTATCACACACACACTCATGCGGGTCAAGGGCAATTAATCAAAAAGGAAGGGAGACGGAAAGGACCGACGCATTCATGCGCTCATGTCAGCAGTCAACACTCGGTACCCCATGATCATCAGCCCTTACTGAGACATTCAACATCCATAGACTTCCATAGCCGAGAAGGCATACAATACACTACCCCCACATTTGGGGTACTTGCACACATCACACGGGGACAAAGCAGCAATGGAGAAAAAGCTTCGTCTTAAAAAATGCAGAATTCTCTCAACTGGCCGCCCCGGGCCCAGTCCCCAATCCATCAAAACCACCGACAACCATAGCCACAAGGCCCTGCCGCTGTCGACATCTGATCTCCACCACCGCTCAGTCCCTCCGACTGCCTTACCCCAAGTCTACCGCTAACTCCGCCACCCGCCGTCACTCCGCCCACCACGGGGCACGTCGAGCCTTTCTGGCGCCGCGGGCTTCATGGATAGCTTGCACAGCTTGCAGCCGAGATCAAAGAGAGTGAGAGGAATGGGTTGTGAGAATTTATAGCGTGGAAGGCGGAGGAAAGGCTGCGCAAAGTGCAGGGTGTAGGTGATTGGGACAGAAGAAGGGAAAACGTTTCAAAAGGATCGAAGGAGGCGAGTTGAATGGTCTTCGTGATTGGGTGGTCGTCCAAGTGGGGTGCGCTTCCCATGGCCACCACATCGCCCCGACCATCCCAATCAGACAGCCAATCATTCGCAGGGAAAGGAGAAGGAGGGGATCGGACTCGCAAGAGGGAGATGCACAGCAAGAAGGGAATATGGCTAGGGGATGTAGAGCGGGAGAACAGGTTTACGGGGCGCACAAAAATTCAAAAACCGCCGCGCTCTCAAAAATTCAAAATTCCTACTCCTGCTAAGTTCCAACTATTTCTTGAATTTCTTGTCGTGGCCGCTAAGCAGCTACGCCAGACCTGAATTACATTTTCTATTCCGCCCCCACTCCCCTTAAACAAAAAAAGGGAAAAGAAAAAGGAAAATGAAACACCACTTTCCCCCATTATCTTGTACTTCGGGGTTGTACGTGGGATTTTCCCTTACTAGGGGTACGGGAAACCGCCAAGTGCAGATCTTGGCTTATCACAAGCCTTCCTCATCGGCCCACAAAACCAAAAACTAAAAACAAACAAACATAACAGAATTGGCATTCCCGACTTTCATCTCAAACTACACACTTGTGTCATTGCCACAAAGGAAGAAGATACGAGACAACTTACCTAAGACAGTATACTGCTCCAGCAAGAACGCATTGACCCCCCCTGCTACGTGTCCGAGAAAACTGGGAAAGCCTTCCACGGAGGCCCACAAAACATACATTCCTCCCAAATAGAGCTTGTGGCCACCCATAAGCATCCAAACAGCCCATGCTCTAAAGCAAGGCAAAGTATTAGGTCGTGTATAATCAACAAAACCAACAAGATATATCCAACCACTCGCTAGTACGAGCCCGATCCTAGCCGTTCAAATCTGCCAAAAGAGAGAGACCTAGCAAGGGCGGAATGTGTCTTGTTTTAAAAGACCCCATATTCTCTCTCTTATTCCCTTCTCAAATCATCACAAGCCATGCATAACAAAAAAGTATACATAAGCAATATAATAGAAAATGCAAGGTTGGCCACGCTTGTGTGGTTCAGCGCCAAGTGCCCACACACCCGTGTGTGTGTGTGTGTGCGTGCGTGTATGTGTGTGTGTGTGTGTGTGTGTGTGTGCGTGCGTGTATGTGTGTGTGTGCGTGTGTGTGTGTGTGTGTGTGTGTGTGTGTGTGTGTGTGTGTGTGTGTGTGTGTGTGTGTGT